CACTGCCCAGCCCCGACAACAGCTGGCAGGGATGGGGAGGCAGTGGAGAGGGAGGGAAGGGAGCAGGGAGGGGAGGAGAGGGGAGGCAGGGGAAGCCACACTGCAAGGTGGAGGCGGATGGAGGGAGGGAGTTCCAGCACCAGAGGGAGTCTGATAAATAACCATGCATGCCTGCAGCTGCAGCACACAGGCAGTGAGGAGCATAGCTCAGCAGCATAGAGACCTTCATGCAGCTGGTAAGTCTGGTGTGGTGGGAAGGGAGGGGGAGGCAGAACAAGGCCCCTGCAGTAAAGGTGTGGGGTTGGGCGCATGCGGGACAGAGGCGTGGCTCATCAGGGGGGGCATGGGAAAAGGAGGGAGGGGGCAGTTCCCATGACTGTGCGTGGCTTGTTCGGTGCTTGTCTGGAGGCTCCAGCCACTGTTCCAGGAGGGCATGGGGGAGAGGGAGCATGTGCCCCCACATCTGCATGGGGCAAGCTGGGGCCGGGCTCTTCCTGGCCAGGCAGATCCAGGGGCATATGCCCCCCCACCCCGCACATGCCCTCCTGGACGAGCAGCAGGAGCCACCAGACATGCACCGGACAAGCCACACGCAGTGGCAGGGGGCCCCCCCCCCCCCTCCCTCCCCCCCCCCCCCCCATGCCTCCCTCCCTACCCCCATGAGCCACGCCTCCATCCTGTGCCTACCCTAGCCCCAGCCCGCAGCTGCAGCCCACCCCATGCTGCGCAGATGTGGGGAGCACAAGCCCCCCAGCCCTTTGCAGCTCTGTCCCACGCCCCTCCCAGCCCTGGCTGGTCAGTGCCTGCCCCAGCCCCATGCTCTCCCCCATGGCAGGGGCCTTGATCTGACCCCCCACACCCCTTCTACCACACCAGGCTTACCAGGTGGACGCAGCTCTTCAAGCTGAAGAGCTACTATTGGAAATCGGACTGGTACCGGCTGATATGCCTCCTTAGAAATCAGCTATTGGTATCAGCTCCAAAAATCTCTATCAGTGCACCACTACATAAAACTACAGCTCCTGGAATCACAATTGCTTGAGAAATTGTGTTTATTCTTAAAAAATTAACACGTTTTTGCCCTTACGGTTGCAACAAAAAAGCTTGAAAAGAAAACCTGAAACATGTTTTAAGTCTAACAACAGATAACAATTTTGATGATTTGAGACTCGACTCATTATTTTAATGCTTACAGTTAGAAATACTGAATTTCTTTGTGGCACAAAAGCAGGTGAAGTTTCCCTTTTGAACAAAATATTAAACCTTTGAGTCACTGCAAATAGAGACCTTCAAACTATAATTACAGTTATTGTGATGTTCTAATATAAATCATGCAACAAACCACTGTTATGTGAAACAGACACACTCTCTCTCCTATAATGGTGGCAGCTTTAATGTATACTTCTATCTATGAGCCCTAATCACAGCTGCACTTTGAATTAAATGCCACATACAAATGCATGTTGGGGGAGGCGGGAGGCAGGAATTTTCCTAGGTCAGAGATAGTATCTTTGGTAGACAAATAAAAGAAGATCACAATGCAGTTACCTGCATCTCCCTGAAAATGAATCCTTTTCACTAGCAGGGGAAGAAAATTTTACATTTTAACATTTAAACATTAAATTGACCTAATGTATTTTTCCTTTAGAGCCCTAAAAATATATAGAACTAGGTAGTTACTCAAGTGGTTTAAATTAATAGAGAGTTCTTGGCTTTCCTATGTTATCACCTGTTTCATACTTTTCACCTTTGATGTCTATTGAACCCCTACATGAAGGGCACTCAGAAACAATAGCAGGAGTAGTGCAGAAAATAAAGTATTATAAGAATGATCTGTTTCTGCACGGAAGCAGATGACAGGAAGAGAACAAACTGTTCAGAAGTTCATACTTGAAACTTTGGTGGTCAGAGATTGAGGACATCTCTGTGACACCAGTTCCCCATGCCAGATCAGACCTTTGTGGCCCATGGGCCATAGGTTGCACACAGAGGCAGTCTTCCACTTGGAACACTTCAGTAAAGTTTCCCACACATTGTGCTCAGTCTCAGGAGCACTTTGGCACTGCTCCAAGTAGCATCACAGTAAGGCATTCCCTCCTGACTCCACTCTGTTTG